CTTTCGAGCGAGCAGACCACCGACACCTTCGTTGCTTCCCACCCCAGGTGACGGGACACATCCTTCACTCGGTGCTCATCCTGGATGACACCGCGGCCAACAACTTGCCCGTGCCAAAGGACCCGGGTTACGTCGGTCCCACGGGGTCCCTCCACGTGTGCCCCGCAGGGAGGCGAACCGAGCGACGGGCGCCGCTTGGGATGGTTTCGGACCTGTCGGAATTCGTCCTTCTTCCTTGGGAGAAGGACGGAGTGACGGGGTGTGAAGGACGGGGTGACGGGGTGCGGACCCAGAAGGAGCGAAATGGCAGCATCTGGACTGCGGACATCGCATGGGATGTGTCCACCCCATTCAGAAGTGCATCAATTCAGAGGCCAAGTCAGGAAAGATGCAGAGGGCCCCTGTTTAGACATTGAGAGGGGTGTTGGTTATTCTTTTTCATTTCGTGGTCGAGGTGTTGCAGAGATCTTGGCTTTAACTGGGGTGGAGGTGGGTGTTTTGAGGTGGGCTCCAAACAAGTGGGGAAACCTTTTGCCAGGGCGTGGTTCGGGCCAGATCGTTGGCCAAATCTGTGCCAAGGTCACCCTGCCTGCTCCAGTGAACAAAGCTGTCGATTTAAGGATTTTTTTGCAACAGTGTGTTCAGGGGACCAGCGTGCTTAGCAATTTGGGGCTGCAGAGCTCAGGGGCACTGCATGGACTCACCAGCTTAGGTGACAGGGAGGTCCCGGATCTGATTCCAATAGATGGTGAGCCCACTGACACACATAAATCCTGCTGACAACTAACAGTAACTAACATAGACCCTGAAAACCCACTGCTAGGAAGAGAAACATCGTCGTTGAGGGGCGCCATTCGACCCGGGTCCATGTTAGTTTTCGGGAGTGTAGGTTTATCCGGAAAAAGCTGGCTTTGCCTTTTTTAAAGATCGAATAGCTATACCGTATATCATGCGTTGCACTGACTCACATCGACTTGGGCCCAGCGAAAAAACAAGAAACAGCAAAAACCACGGACGTCGACTCATCCCTCAGGAGCCGTTGAGTCAGGTGAAGATGTTGGTACAGACCAATATGGAGTGGCCTGGCTTCGGAAGGGACAGGAGTTTTCACTGCGAGACCCTACATGGTCAGCTGGACCTCACTTTTACAGGAGTTGGTCATGCAAGTTCACACTACTCAAGGAAGTCAAAGACCAGGTTTTACCGGTCAGACTGGACTTGTGTAATTACGTAGATGTAGATGTATGCGAAGCGAGCTGCCTCCGTTGGGACAGGAGTTGTCCAGGTGGTCGAATCATGTAGAAGCTGTGGCGCTGTGGCTTCCATTGGTGTTTCGTGCAGAATCCGCCGACGGGGCCAGACTTGTCTTCCAGCAAAAGCAGCAAGCCTCTGCTCCAAGTAGCGGCGGAGGTCATGTTATACTGAGGTTTGACACTTTCAACTGACTTTGTCTTTCAGGAATTCTTCAGGTTTTGGCACTCGGGCCGGATTCATCTTCTTATTTGGTGGAGTAGTCCACCAAAGCGGTGTGGCAGGCCCCCAGAGACACTAATTGCGCTAAGGGATTGCAGAAAAAGACACGGCATCAAGCAGTATTATGGAATTTTCAATTCTTTCGAAGATATGATATATCCAAATTAACATTTGGGCAATATTTATAGTATTTTTGTGTCCCACACGGACGCCGACTCCTTCGAGACAAGTTGAGGCTCAGCAAAAAGCTGAACACGATGCGTGGGGGCTCCCCAATGCTGGCTGAATGTTCCCGGGTGGGTGCACTCCATCGTCTTTGTGACGGGCTTTAAGCACGAGCATAGCAGTGCTTGTCCAAACTCTTCGAATGTGTAATTCATGTGAAGAAGCTGAAGAGCATGCGGCAGACGTGGTCCATGTCGACACCCACACACAATCATGCTCATGCCTGTTTATTGTTGTTTATTTGTCATCCATCCATAGATAGAGTAGAGAAGTGATTCCGGTTGACACTCTTTCTGTGCATCAATTTGCCAACTGCAATTGTTCCCAAGACCTGTTTTCCGCTTGCAGCCTAGCTGCCAGGTAGGTCGTTCGAATGAAGCACCTGGGTGAGACACAGAACGGACAGAACGAACCACGCATTGGGAATACACCACCCCACCTGGTGACAACAAGTAAGTCAAGGCGGTCATTCTGAGTTTCTTTACTGCCTTTCTCTGAAGAAGAAGAGTTGGAGTGTCTAGGGAAAAAAGCCACCAGCTCCGGCTTCGGGGTGGGTGGATCCCTCTGTGCGTGACGCGACTTGGCCCAGAGGCCGCGATTACTTGAGGGAACTGACCTCACACCGCGACAAGCAGCGCCTGGAGAGCCCAGTCATGGGGGGTTCAGAGAAGATCAAGAACTCTAAGGGTGGTAGGTCCGCAGGTCCGCGAGCCGTTCGCGGAAGTTCGAAGTGATGCGGTTCGGGGGTTCAGCTCGCGGAGTGTCCGTTCGCGGTTCTTCCGAGTTGCAGGTGTGAGATGCACCTATAGTTCTGGATTTTTTCTATTTCTTCCGGAAGTGACAGGAAGTCTCAGAAAACTTGATGGGTGCTCCTTGCCCCCCAAGTTCTATGAAGTTCTTCAGCTGCCATGGAACCCCCAACCCCACCTGTGCAGGGATTCTCCGATCCACCGGTCTTCCCATGGCGAACGCAGCGGTTTCCGTTCCGAGCGATGTTGCGGGGACCTCTGGATCCCCAGGATGCCAAGCCTCGGTGAATGAGGCTGAATGGACCGTTGGATGCTGATGCTTTTGGAGCGGCCATCAGCTCAGCTCGGCCGCTCCCACCGAGGTAGCCTGAGCTATGAGAAGCAGCTCATACTGCATGACCTCCAGGACGGATCTCCGCGATCCACGCCGCCGAGGTGATGGTGGTGCTTGCCCCTGGACGACTCGCATCATGGGGTTCACAGTGACACGCGCAGAGCCAGCTAGCTCCACCAAGATCGTCTAGAAAAACCAAGGCGGCCACACGGGATCCAAAAAGAATTGGAGTCCTGGATCCCGCGTTAGAAGTCCGGAAGGTCTCAGCGCAGTTTAAAACACTATACCGATCTATACCTGCACATGTCAAGACCGTTCAAACACAACAGCAACAACAGCAACAACAGCAACATCCTTTTGTCCCCAAATCCCTGCTCCTCCTTGAAAAAACATCACGTCGACCGCCTGTGTCAACAACGGGTGCTTCGCGTTCCCCCCCCCCCCAACCGCCGAGAACCGCGTTCCCCCGTGGAGAACCGCGTGGCAGGAGAACCCCGTGATGTTCTTTGAGCCTCTGAAGTTCGTCCTGGTGCGCCGAAGCGCAGCGAAGCGTCGAAGCATATCAAAGCATCGAACAACCGGTGGGGGGCCGGTGAAAGACTGAGGGGGGGGGGGGTGAAGCCGAAATCGGCGTAGATATTTGGGACGCGCCATCCACTTGATCACTTGATCATGGGAAGACAAGAAGTGGGGCGAAACTGAAGTGAGTGTGGTGGGATTGAGGAAATTTCCAATCCATCATTGAAGTGGTGGCGGTCATCAGCTTCATCAGATTCCAGTGAACGACATTTCCGAAGAGGATGGGGTTTTGGATGGTTTTGGAGCACACGTGGCACTAGAACCCATCCATTCCTTACATGGGGCCAAGAAGTCCGATGATCACCAGACGAGTGCCACCAAGGCCGCCCAAGGCCCTCCGAAAACAGGTGTGAGTTACACCATGGTCCACCTGCCGGAGGAGTTCAATCCCAACGTTTCAAAACACCGAGCCAGTTGTCCACCCATTTTTCCTTGAGCTCCTCGCATCGAAGTTGCTCAGTTGCTGAGTTCCCTGACTCGTGATGCCGTGATGCTGAGTTTCCTCTATAGCTGCCATGCTGTGCCGTTGAAGCGGCCGTGTGGCACGGAGGACGATGTGACCAAAGAGTTCATCAAGTTGGTGGTGGAAGAACGTGCCTGGCGCCCGGTGCCGGTCCGGACGGTCCCATGGCGGGCGGCAGTCGGTCTGGCTTCGCCGCCTGGGGGGTCCGGGCGGCTGGATCTCCCGAGGGGGGTGGCCGGAAGGCTTTCCGGGGCGAAGGACTCCTGGCAGTCCGGTCCAGTCCGTTTTACGGGCGGAAGGAGGTGGACCGGGGCACCCTTCTGGTCGATTTTGCACGGACTCGCAGGATCGCGGCCTCGGGCTGGCGTGACAGTCTTTTGGATCACAGGTATGGGTGACGGGATTCAAGCCAGCACAATACGGCTGTGATAGGGAAGAACGTGCAACACTCTACATTCAGAAGAGCCGGTGAAATCGCCAGACATGGGTGAAATCTGAGAAGCCAACTTGGCAGGATACCCCACAGAAGTAATGATACCCCAACTTGGCAGGCGCCCAAACAGCTTCTGCTCATCATATGTGGCAGGATGGTAAATCTGTGCAACATCTGTGGGCGCTGCCCAGCTTCTTCAGTGTGTGACCTTTTGAAGGTTCCTAAGTCTCCCAAGGGGGAGCTTAATTGAAGAACCAGGAGCTGTGATTTCTTCTTGCCCGTGGCAGCTTTGGGCCTCAGCCTGGGATGAATAGCAGCCCAAGATCCTCGACACAAGCCCGCAGGATCTGAGAGTTCCATGAGCCTTGATCAAAAGGACGAGTAAGGAGGCAGTAGCAAAACTTTCGGGTTTCTGGTGGGATTGGGCAACAAAACGTTCATTCTGAGTGTTTTGGAGGGATGTTTTTTCCCTCATGAACCTCGGGCATGACATCGGCCATTGGTGCCGCCACACTCAGTGGATCCACTTGGCACTTGGCGCCACTTAGGCCACCAGCGTTTCCGAAGATGAAAAGCATAGAAGCATCAGTGAGCCAAGGTCCTCCAATCTCTTGCTTCAAAGAAATTCGCAGTGTAAGCCCTTGAATCAACCCCTTACTTCTACTACACTTCTTTAGGCACGCTGGAAGAACCATCCACTCGCCTCGAAGAATCCTCGCGACATGTGGGGCGTTCTTCCGCGCCATGCGCGGAGCCGCGCTGCCCTTCTTCACACTCCTGGCATCGGCGAGTCCGGCCGAGCGCCCGCCGTATCCACACTACCCCGGGCGCCGCGTGGTCACGCTGGAAGGCAGGAGGGGCCGAAAGGACCGAGCGGGTGGGTGGGGCGGAAGAATTGGGGCCTGAAGGACACGGGGTGACGGTTCATGTATTTGAGATGTTGCCTTATATATCGTTTTTTTCGTGTGTGAAGTGGAGTGAAGCGTCTGAAAGGCGTTCATGGGAGCGCTGCCAGAAGGCGTGGTGTTGAAACAGAAAAGTGCCCGAGCGCCATGAAAGATTTTGCTTATAGGGCTAGCGCCAATACCGGCCCTGAACCTAACCTACCACTTCTGATAGCGGACCGAGCCTCGACCTCGAACGGTGCCAGGCCCTTGGGACTTCGCGTATCTGGGCGACGTGCCGTTGGCGGCGGGCGCCTTCATCCGCGAAGAGGAGTTCCAAGGGACGCGCCTCGTGCCGGACGCCTTCAACGACAGGCGGGCGGGCGGGCGGACGTTGCGGGTGGACGCATGCGGACGGGTTTGCGGGTTTCCGAGTGGTGTTGAAACTATGTTGTTGTTTAAATAACTGTTTTACTATTTTTTTGTTCAATCAGTTTTCCACCGGAGCTCTACACACGACTACATCACCAGCTTTCTTAGAAAACTGGTCACGCACTTCCAGTCGGTCCGGCTGCTTCAACATAGGCCCCTTGTCCATTGCTGATGGTTGTTGGTAGAATGGGGGTACGCAATTCGATTCGCCACAGCGAATCCTGCGTGGTCTCTTTTGCATGGAATATGTCCACTCTGCCCTAGGGAGTGGCTGTGCCCACTGCAGCAGTGTCCTCAATGGCCGACCCACCCCTGCCACCGCTGCTGCCATGCCTTGCGCACTGGGAGCGCAGAGCCTAGCTGCGACCGGGCGCTGCCGCAGTGCTGCGATCCGGCGTGGAGGGGGACCCGAAACACGGGCAGAGGCTCTTGGCCTTTCTGAGGAAGTGGTGAGATCAAAGGAATCTGAAGTCATCTCAAGACAAAGTCTCGAACTCTCCCGATTTTCACCACCTCGTGAACTCTAACGCGTGCGTTAGTGCAACTTCGACGTCACATTGAGTGCAGATCTCAAGACAAGCTCACCCGATCTCCCTCAGCGAAACCGTCACCGATCTGTGTCTCAAGCCCATGGCGTCTCGGGGCCGATCGGATCCTTAAACAAATAGGCTCTGACCCTAGGCTTCCAACAACCATTGTTTTAATGGCCTTTACGCAACCAGGTCAACCTTTCTTTGAATGGTCTTGGAAGCCTAGGGTCTGAGACATATTCCGGAGGCCAGCAGCTACCAGCAACTCTAGAAGCTACGACCGTAGCTGGCATGACGGACCAGTAACTAAGACGCCGCGGTCGACCCCGGTCCCTCGGGGCAGGTGGGACTTGGACGCCGTGGCGTGGCGGCCTACCGGATCTACCTGGAGCCCGAGGCACGGATGGATGGCCATCCATGGATGGGCCGGAGGTCGGAGGTGGGAGTCGTTAGGAGGAGTCGTTAGGAGGAGTCGTTAGGAGGAGGGCAGGGGGGGCAGGGTGCTTCTTCTTTCACCAGAAGGAGGCTGGCAGATGCATGTTCATCATATTTTTAAATCTCAGGTGTCTACAGTGGGTTCAGGACATTTCTTCCATGTTGTTTTGGAACCCTTCTTCTGGGAGGTCACTCATTTCAGAGGCATTTCTTCTTGACACCTTGGCACTTCAGGGGATCTCTTCTTCGATCTTCAGGTCCCCACCCTTCCCTTCCCCCAATGGGAGCCAGGGGACCGAAGCACGTCCGCTGTCCGGCGCGCGCCGGCAGGTGAGCCTCTTGCACTTCCGCGGCTGCGGCCTTCGCTGTGCCGTCCTCCTGGACCGCACGTCGGTCGCGGAGCCGCCTGGGCGAAGCGGTTGGACGGAGGAGGGCTGCTTGGGGCGTAGATCTGGGGAGCGCAGCACGACATGCGACCGACCGACAGGTAAAGCATGCCCTCCTTGAACAGATAGGGTGGGCCAGACCACAGTTCGACCTGGACTCAGCTTGCTGGGCCTTCGTTCATGAAACAATTCGGCCTCGTTTTGGTGGGAGTTGGGAGTCTTCCCTCGAAGTCTAAACAACTACCCGATCAACTTCCACTGCTGGTTCAAGGGACCGGCTGGTTCAAGGAACAATCCTCAGCATCTGGGCGCCGTAAAGGCACTGATCACACAGCATTTTGGGAGGCTTTCCGCTTCGGTGCGCACTGACGCCCTGACTGAAAGCCGTGCCGCATGAATCACGTGGAAACCATTCCAAAACAACCGCCATGCTTCCTCCGCCGGTGCTGCAGACCCCAGCCACCTTGGCTCCTTGAGGCATGAAGGGAGCTATAGCCCCTTTTGGGTGGATCTGGCAGGCAGGCTCCGCGCGCAGGGGTTTGAGCCGTTCATATACAGCTGTTTTGAGCCGTTTGGCACGTAAAGAGGGTGAAGTGAGTGGTTGCCCCACCGACGGTTTGATTCGAGTCTTCTGGACTAGCGGGGACGTCAGTCCACTGCAGCTGCCTCTCTGAGAAGACCCGTGCCCGCCATCTTCAGTCTATGGCATGCTGTGATCTTCCCTTTTTTCGTGCTGTGTCCTTGGCAGTTTGACTTGTGGAATTGCGGCGTTTTTAAAGACTCGCCAGAACCTGGCTTAATATAGGTTTAGTCGGTTTAGTTTTAAATGAATAAATATAATGTGTCAATGTCTTTGTAATAGCCCTGTCTAAGTCTGCCTTATTGTAAATTCTATATTTTAGACCTTGAAGCGCCAGAACCTGGCTTGCACCTCACGCCCTTCCATCCAGCTGTCTGGACCGATGAGTTCGTTTCAATTGGCCAACACTTCCACAAAACCGTGAATTATCTGTCACCAATCCATGAAAATACTTGGCATCTTCCTAATGATCTATCCCCAACCCATGAACTTATACCAGCAGTCACATGTCGCCCAGCCGTGCTCTCCATGAAAATGAGTCGTCGGGGTGCCCCTGTCACATCCACTGGATGGGACGAGCCACACTCATCTTTCCGAATTCTTTCCGCCCAACCGCTGAGTTTCGGTCAGGCCTCCCTTGGCCCTCCGGACCGCGGGCCCCACGCGCCGCCCGGAGCAGTTGGAGCGAGATCGGGGTCAGAGATGGGATCGGAGATGGGATCGGTGGAGTCGGTTGGGGGGGGGTCTTCGGACGGGGTCAGGCAAGGAAGCTAGGAGAAAGGGCACCGGATGGCACAAAGAAGGCCAAATCGGGGCCCGCACGCCGCCGCGCCCGAACGTGGCGTGGAGCTTGGAAGCCGGTCAGCCGAGCTGCGCGAAGAAGAACCCATCCAGAAGCAACAAGGGCGTTCAGGTCGCGCAGGTCGCCCGCTTTGCAGGGGAGAGAGCGGTTGTCGCGGCTCCGAAGCCCAAAACGGTTCCTAACCGGGTCATCCTTTGGAGTTGGAGAGGTCCCACCCTGCTGGTTCTCCAAGGAACTCCTGGTGCTGGCAGACAGCCGCTTCGGCTGCTTGGAAGGATAGGGGCAGCTGGGATCCAGCCTCCACTGGCTGGAGATCCCAACGCTTCAGCTATGATCCTCTTGTGCCATTGAGTTCCTTTCTGCGAGCACGGAAGGTGTGCCAGCAATTGGGATCATGGAGATATTCTTGACCTCAAATGGTGCATTGGACATCTGGCATTTCTTAGGCTTTCGGCAGCCTGAGGGCTTTTCTCATGGGTTTTTCCCGTTTACGGGGAGAAGCAAACCTCCGAACCCGCAAAGGTGGGCTTTGAACCTGAGTGACCTCTTGTTTGGAATCCACGGACGGCCGCCGCATCCCATCGCCGGACTCGAACGGCAAACCTACTGGTGCTGGGCGTTGCTGGGCGTGGCGAGCAGTTGAATCATGCTTATCTAAGTCTTCTGAGATGTTTGAAACTTTTTGACACCATCTCAGGTGGTGGGTGATGAACATGGGAGTGTTTGCCACAGCATCATAGGTCTTTGAGATTCTGGAGCCGTTCCAGTTTCTCAGCCTCACCATACATCACCTTCTCCAGACCGCTCACGAACCTCCCAGTCAGTCTCGCTGCCTGCGCCCACGCGTGCGCGGGCCGCCTGTCGTGAGGCACGTTGCAGCGCTTGCACTTCGATTGGCTGCAGCCCGGCGGAATACTGAGACCGGTGGAGGCCGGCTGTTGGGGGGGCGGCTGGGTCTTAAAGCAGCAGGGCTCCCAATGCAGAACCTAGCAAGCAAGTCAACACCCTGCAGCTACGGAACTTATATACACACCCTTTTGGGAGGGGTGTGGGGGCCGGAAGGGCGGCATTCACTGTTTTCGCGGAGTAGGCCAGATCCACCCCAGCTGAAGCTCTGGCGCTCGTTTGGCGCACACACACACACAGCCCAAACCGACTGCCCAAACCGACTGCCCAACGTACAGCGGGGTGCTGCCCTGCGAGGCACATCGTTTGGAGGAGTCCTCGGTGCGTATTCGACATCTTGCGGTGGAGCCGAAGAGTGTCACCCACGTGCTGGCGCGGATGGTGGGCGGGTGGGTGACGCAAGACGGGTGACGCTCAGGTGATCCGGTGACGCTCATAGAAAGTGAATCGGCGAATCCATTCTTTTTATTTGGCGAGCATCAGTGACAGTGACATACTGCATTGCTAGTTGCAGAGCTGATTATGGGAAGGAGATTTGACGTACTGCCAGTGCTTGTGCTTGTTTTTGCCCTTCATGTGTTGTTTGTATTGCCGTTTGAGCAGTGCCCTCCTCTTTGCTTTGGGGCTCGATTGCACGACGTACACGTCCTATAGTCAGTGTGGTGAACTGTCCGCGCCGGTCCCTTAGTTTTTGCTTGTTCAGCCACACCCCTGTGGACATACCCCTGCCACTGCTGCTGGTGAGGGGACATAATCTATACCCATTATTGCTCATTAAGCCACGGGGGTCTCCCTCTAAAGCACACTCGCATGTTCACAATCTTGCTGGATGTTGAGCTTCACTCTGCCTGGAGCGGACTAGGCATTGCTTCTATTCTTCTATTCCTCACCAGCATCAGGGTGTCTTCCTCGCCATTTTTGACTGTAGCAACTCTGACAGGTGTGTTGCATGAATAACTTGCGTGCCATGTTGATTGACACGTACAAAGCGCCAGAATCCACTTGCTAGGGGCCCAATGCCAATACTGCACCCCAGCAGCCACATTGTCAGCACGAAAGCTCCAGTTCACCTATGTCATTTTTCCATCTAAGGTGGAATGCGGAACCCCTCAAGAACAGGTTTAAACTCAATTTTCAATCAGGGGGTCTCTTTGTTGGATTGCGCACCTCACTCAGAGCTGGGGAGCTCAGAGACGGGTGACATCTGAAGAAGTTTCGCACAGGTCTCTCTTGACATCCTGGGCTGCGAGTCTGGAGGCGGGTGCGAGAGCGGCCATCGCGCCTGGGTGGCCATCGGGCTGAGGCGTTTCGTGGAAGTCGGGTAGAGTTCACCACCCTTCAGGGGCAGAAGGCCCTGGGTCGATCCAAGTCTCGCCCTTGGGCCGCGTGGAGGATTGGCCTTGGGCAACCACGTGGAAGGCATTTTCCATCGATGGGGTTCAGGCACTTCGTCCAGCCTGAAGTCACTTCCAGGCGCTAGAAATGAAGTTTGCTGAAGAAAATAGGATCTTGGAGTAAGGGGCATTATTCTCGATCACATCTGACCACTTCACCTCACCTACACCAACTCCAGGCACTCTACTTGCGCGTCTCCACTTCAGCGGCCTTGAAACGCCCCGCGAGCGGCGCCTCGACTGCCTTGGCGCGACGTCCACACCTACCGCGCCGTCTGCACGAGTGGCGCAGTCAGCTGCGTGGCTGGAGACGCTGGGCCCGGGCGCCGGCGTTTGGACCTCGGAACGGCCAGAGCTGCAGATGCTGATGGTGCAGCTGATGCTGGATGGGCGACAGGTGGGGGTGATGGGCAAAAGCTGAAGATATGATTATTTTGATGTAGTTGGTTTGGGGGATTGAGTCATCTTTAAGCTTTCCACACCCTTTTTCACGTCTCCCCCTGTGCCGGCGGTCACCGCCCAAGGTGGATGCCATCACGGTGCGCTTCGGGCTCCGCTGGTTGGAGGCCAAGGAGCAGCAGCTCTGGCTCAACGGCGCGCCGCTGCAGCTGCGCGGCGTGAATCGCCATGAGTCGTGGGTCTGGGGCGGCCTCCACCGACCCTGGGCTGAGCTGCAGGCGCGGCGTGGCGTGGAACACCACTGTCCCGCTCCGCGCGGCCGGAGGAAGGGTGGGCATTTTGGTGGTGGTGACCTGTGACAGTGACTGAACCCACCCTGGAACCGTACCCGTTGAAGGGATTCCCTTGGGATCCCGTTTGGGATCCGCTGCATCTCTGGATGTGCCGTCCCATCCTGTCACTTTTCAGGAGGACATCCAGCTGCTGCTCGAGCTGAACGCGAACTTCGTGCGGGGCGCGCACTACAGCCAGGACCAGCGCTTCTTGGATTTGTGCGACGAGAATGGCATCTTGGTCTGGGAGGAGCCTGTTTCGTCGCGCCGGCGTCGTCGGGCAGAAGAGCAAGCCGCGGCAAGATACAGTCGAAAGCACCACAGGTGTTTCCCAAACCCCGGAAGATGCAGTCCTTTGTTAAAGCCTTCTGATGAATGAGCCACACCATACCCACTCTTTTGCTTGTGACCTTTGAATGGTTGACCTGTTTGAACCCACCGCGGAGACCTCCGCCCACCACGCCCTGGCCCCCGAGGAGACCTCCGCCTGGCAGCCGAGCAGCGAAGACCTGGCGGATCCCGCAGCTTGGAGATGGGTCGTTCAGCTTGGCGGGGCAGTTCCATCAGTGAAAGGCTTGATCGAAAGGTACTGGTTTGTCGGGCTTGGAGCCCAGTACGTCCTAGCTCTCCAGTCGTTGGTTTTTTCAGGTTCGGTATGATTGCACCCGAACCATGGCACTTTTCCCTTAGAATGCAATTGGAGCCCTAGCGGTATGGTGAACCAGGATGGTGCAGTGGCAGTGGTTCTCGTGGGGTGTGTGGCGTTCACATCTCGCCAGGCGTGGCCACTCTCGGAGTGTCAGGTTTGACTTTCTGGGCGTCCGGCATGCACCGGCAGGGCAGGCGGTCTGCCCGGTGGCGGTGGCGGGAACGGAATGGCCAGTCATTCACGGGGTGAACGGCCAGGTCTTTATGGCGCTGCAGGCGCAGGCGTTGCGAGAGACCATCGAGGCCTCGGCCAACCATCCAAGTGCGCCTTGGCCCCGAACCGGCAGCCAGCGGGACTCGTGGGGAGTGTCCGAGTGGGGGGCGGATGCTCCCCCTCCGCCCGGCTCGGAGTCCATGGCAATCGTGGATGTCTTTTGTACCATTTTCGGAGGATCATTGTCCATCCGAATACCAAGCATAGTCGCTTTTCTTCTCATTCCATGAGTGGTTTCAAGTTTCAAGGAGCCGGTCAATGTGAGTGTGGGATTTCTTCAAATCACTTTCCCTTGATTTGAGTAAAAAGCCGCTGGCGCTTTGAGAGATATCAGGCCAAAAAAGGTGGAGGCAGTAAGAAACCAAAGGGTTTTCAGAAGCAGATGGCGTGCAAACACACACACACACACACCAATAAAGATGGGAATCCCAAAATCTGCGGCAGTGAGCCTTCCTTTTATCATCGTTTTTTGCACTTTAAGTTGTTTGGATTTATGTATCTCATTGCATCCTGCAACGGGTGCCTGCCGAGGTTCACTTTTTGTGCAAGACCCATGTCTCTCACTACACACTTGGTCAAAGGATCTTTCTTGGTAAAGAACGTATCTTCATGCATCTGTCCATTCTTTTGAAGGAACCATCTACCAGGGCCCGCTAAGGGGTGTCCAACTATAGCTCCTTAGAGGTTTTTCGGGATGTCCATTAACCCCAAACAGGGGGAGCCCTGGTATTCTCTGAGATATTCTGTGTCCGTTCCGAACGGCAACAACGATCTCATCAGTGGCTCGAGACCGTCGCTTCCAAACGCCAGTCGTGAAACGGCTGCCGACGAGTAGTCGCACGCATGCACGAGGAGTGATCGGTTGAAGCACTTGCAGTACCAACAGAGGTTGAAGGACCCGAACTAGCCTATCCCATAGGTACCCCAGTAGGGTCCTAGTTCAGGTCACTCAACCTCTCTTGGTCTTTCATTCAAGTCCCCCGAGTGGACACTTGAACGATGCATTTTCTGGCTGTGGGTCGTGGCACCAGGATACTGACCGAAGTTCACCCACCAACGAGACTCGTCGTTCGCGGCAAATGGTGGACTGGTCGGGCTCCAGGTTGAACGACCCAGTCCCATATAGAAGCAACAATTGGTGATCAGCCACTAGGACCTCACGTTTCTAATTCGCTTTTGGAAACGCATTTGGGAGCTGCGATGTGACAGTGCTTCAGCTTGTCGTCGGTCACTTGAACGACCCGGCACAGGTGGTTGGCATCCTTGATCATCCATTCTCCTTCTGTGTGATGGAACGCCTGAAAGGATTTGGAAGGCATGATACGACACAGAGCATCAGCCTCGCGTCACCTCCTGTCCTTTTTGGGGTCCTATCTTCTCAAAAGCACTCCGCGGCCTGAGCCAAGTTCCTTCTCCTTCCGGGCTCAGGGCCCCCCGTCGCGACGGCGACGGCGACGGGGACGGGCAGGTCATCATCTTCGGCTTCCTCAACGAGGCGGACGCCTCCGAGCCCACAGTGGCACGTCCGGCCTTCGCGCGGCTGGCGCAGCTGGCACGGCAGATGGGGCAGGGACGGCTGGTGGCCTGGGCGTCCAGGCGTGTTCCGCGGCGGGGCGAGAAGTGCAGAAGTACGAAGGGTGAGGGTGATAGGACCAAGAATGGCTCTCAGTTCATCTTCCACAATACCCTGGGAGTCCAAGACTGTTCATACAAATGGTCCTTTAGGTGACCCGTTTACAGGAGCTTCCTTTACTTCAACGAGTCAACATATCGAACTGGACCTTCTAGGCAGGGACATGGTGACGTTCAGCGAATGTTCAGGTGATCGGACTCCGGAGAGGCGTGAGGCAAAAGAAGGCAAAGGAAAGGGGTAGTAGACTGACCGGTGCTCAGTAGGGAATGAGGGTGGCTGGATCCAAAGGAATCTCTATTGGGGGCTCATTCCCTCATTCTCTACTAAGTACCAGTCAGTAGATGGTCAGAGTCCACTATAGATCGAGTTCCTGGCGTGAGAGAATGACTAACGATCCTCAAGATGGACTCGTGTCTTCTCCCGGCAACGGTCCCCATGTTCCACGGCTTGGCCTCGCACGCCACGCCCTTCGCTGGCCTCCATCTGGACACCGGGGCCGGGTCCCACTTCCGCACCGCGTGTGAGCTCGGCCGAGCTCGGCCCCTGCGGAAGGCACAAGATCCGAGACGTCACGCTGGACTTGGGCGACCTCATTGCTTTCAACGACTATCCAGGCTCGTCGTCGCGTCAGACGTCGCGGTGGACGTCGCGTGGTGCGGCGTGGTGCGGATGGGCTCCCAGGGATGGCCCGGCGGAGTGGGGGACGCTGGGTCTCTCTTCTGCCTTCTGCGCGGGTGGGACTCTGGCTTTCAGCATCAGCAGGTGAGTGCTTCCTTCCTCGGCCGTCCTGGGCGTGTGTGGTTTTTCTTTGAGGGTTCGGCTACGGCTACGGCTGTGGACTCCTTGCTGGGCCAAGCAGGGATTGAAGACATGGGAGGGTCATCCGGAAGGCAAGACCCGGTGGACCTTGTGGTTTTGGAGGGGGGGTCCCTGGTTTGGCGGTCTTATGCTCTGAAACATGCTTTGACGTTCGAATGGACAGGGTCAGCCTGCAGAGTACTTGACGAACGGGCAAATTGATGACCGGCTGTTGATGGATGAGCCCTCCTGCCCAAGCTCGTTCCTTCCTGTCACTGCTTTCTCTTGGGATGCTCACCCGCTGAATGTGGGAGAGCCACAACGGCTTCTAGTCTTTTGATCAAGCCCCCTCACATGGAGATGTAAGAAGTCGAATGGGGCGGATTTGTGAAACCAACAGCCGTGAACAGTCGACCTTTGGGATCCAGCGCTGCACACCGAAGCAGCGCTGCTGTGGCCGTGTGGGCGGTGGTGTGACGGGTCGTCCTTGACGAGCGCAGCAGTGGCTCCTGACCGGGCCGCCCCGAGAAGATATAAGAAGACCGCCATGGGCTGCGCTGGAAGCCTTGCCGGAAACCAAGGCGGTGGAGGCGCGTGGGGAGTGGGACGGGTGCCAGATCCCGAAGCCGAGTGGAACTGGGAAGGGGGACAGGGAGGTTCTGGGATCTTTTGGGTGGATGTTTCAGGACATTCTTTGGTCAATCTTGACTTGAGATGGTTTGATTTTGATTCACTTCCTTATTTTTCATTATTCACGCCGCTCCGCAGCAAGGTTCGCCCGCACCGCCATGAAACAGTTGCCCAACAAAAACGGCGAAAGCCGTCACCCAAACAGCTCCGAAATCGCAAAATCATACAAAATCTAGTCCCCCGGCCTCCCGACAAGACACATGGAAAAGAAACACGTCTCAAAACTGAAAATCGAAGACCAACAGGTGTTTTTTTTTCATTTTTCTCTTGCCGGTTCCGGGCGGGTGCGTGCACGAACTAGTCCATTCTGTGCTGTAAAAAACAGTGTTTTATGAAGTCCGCCGTCGCGACCTACCCAAAACCCATGGTTTTGGCCCAAAAATAGCCCCCCCCCCCCAGGTAAACCTGCACCATACAGTCGGTGCGGGCGGATTTTTCAAGTGAGTTGGGTTCCCCGCGGTCCCCAGTATCGCATGCTGGGTGAGATGTTTTTTTTCTCTCTTCCTGAGCTACGCACATGCAGTCGGCAAGTTGGTCAAGATCGACAACGTGGACGCGGAGGCAGGGGATGGCAGGGCGGAGGCAGGGGATGGCAGGGACCAGACTCATAAAAGCAAAAGAGATGGCCGATAGGTAGAAATGAACAGGAATGATCTAGGATCTTGACTTGTGCCCGCACCACGGTGTGCGGGTGTCCATTCACCACAGGAGCAGTGCCGCGAGAGCTTCCATTCGATGGACTTCTTGCCCGCTGCCGTGACGATTGCCCAAGAGCCGCCGAACGGCCTCTCGCATGCCTTCTACGTGGCTGCTCGGATCCCAAATGAGTCGTCGGTCTGGTGGAGTTCCCTATCGGACTTGGAGAGGAACAGTCCCTATAGGGCTCCTGGCCCACCTCCGTTTCGAAGATGGGCCAGGGGTGGGTGCCAGGGGGGTCGAATACCACCGGTCACCTGAGGAGATGGGACAGGAGCCCCAGAGGGTAACAAAGTCAGATTGGACAGAACGTGCCCCGAACTGGGAAACCCACCCGTGCTGTTGTAGAGGTCCCCAGGTCGTGGTGGCATCGACATTGAACGGGCTCGCTTTTAGAGCGGCGATGCCGGACTCCTGGAATCTGCACAGTTCGCCTCAACACGGGGCCCAGATGTATGAGTTGACGTGTTCTTTGCAATACGAGATTTGTTTGGTTGTGTTTTTGGGTGTGGTTTTTTCCTGCCTTGTTTCTCGGATCCTCGCCCCTTCTCCATCCTCTAAGCCCGCTCCGACCGGCCCCGGTTCGGCTCGGGCGTCGGCGGGCGCCGCCTGAGGCGCGGTTGGAGCGCTTCCTGCGCAGCGCCGATCCGGATGCGCTGATTGAGCGCGTCGGCTGCAAGCGCGGGCTCCATGAGAGGAGCCCCGTCGGGAGGTCTGGGCAGTGTGGGGTTGAGGTATGTTGAGGTATGTTGAGGTGGTTTTGGAGCCACAGGTACAGTTGGGGCCTTACTTTTCGTGTGGATGCATTTCAACTTGTTGTGGCCGTGAAAGAACTCTGAAACCTGGATGACCAGGTTTTTCTTTCGCATGACGACTCATTGGCCTCAGAGACTCCATGGCCTGGGTGAATTCTGAACATGCCCTACAAGACAGAAGAAGATATATATACTAACAGAGTTTGATGGGCCTCCGCCACACGTGCCATTTCACCAACGGTTTGACAACCAGAAAGGGGACCACTTGACTCGACATTGAAGACTTGTCTCCTCCAAAAAGATCAGTGCTTTTGCAACCCAGTTGATGGTAGGTCCGGGCATGGCGGAATTGCGGTGCTACGGGGCTGGCTTACATGGGGGGCTTCTTGCCTCACCGGTGTTCTCGGGTCTTCTCATTCTCAAGCCAAATGCCTGGCACCCAGGCGACCCATGGGACAGCAAATGCCTACATTCGGTGGGTTTTTCTGCGGTGAATGCCTGTCATATGGTAGCGGCTACCACGGATCTGATTCGCAGGAGGCACGAAGCACAGTGGGACGATGAAGAGGAGGTGCTGCAGATCTGATGGGAAAAGAACGCGCCGACTTGATCGGAGCGTCGCAGATGGGGGGGTGGAGCCCCCCCAACCGTCCGAGTCCTTGCGAATTGGCCCTCAAAGCATCTGGAACCCCGGCCCCTTATGTTCAACATTTTGCCCTGTGGTGGCTTGTGATAAGCTTGTGGCACTTGAGCTCAACTGTGGAAGGTTCCACCACCACAGTGGAACTCATCAAGAACAAAGAAGAACTCACTGAACCTATTTCAGATCTGGTATGATCTGGGGTTCCAGGTCAGTGCAGACTCCTGTGAGTGGAACACAGCCAATCACCTCAGGACAAGATGCAGATAGGCCCACAGACACATAAGACAGTCTCCTCAGTAGTCCCGAGATGGAGTCTGTTTCTCCTTGATCGCACAGCTGAGCCGCTCGGCTGTCGACGAGATCACTTGCGCCGTCAATGCATCAATGCATCAATGCTAGACCGCCCTCGAAATGTTCACGGCTCAAAACCCACGGCGGCGCTTGGCTGGCCTGAGCATGGACGAGGGTGGTTTTCGAGGGCGGACCACTTGCACTAGACTCGTTGATGCGTTTTGCTATGCAGTAGGTGTGGAATTTGGAGACTCTCTTTCTCCGCTGGTGTTGGAGGCCTTTGTCCCATGCGAATGCTCCCCTTCGTCCCAGCAGTAGACTTGATGAACTCCGGCCCAGACCTTAAACCTCCGAAATCATTGATGGCAATGGATTTTGTTCACTTGGCATCCCTCAATAGAGGAAGTATCATCACTATATGGGGAAGAGCGTTCAATGAGATGGCTTTCGTGACCAACACATTGACACACCTGGCATCTTCTGGCAAGGGGTTTTCAGCGAGCCTGTCAGACGATCGAAGGCTTCCAGACCTTTTTTCCACCCCTTTTGGGTGAGATGGAACCTTTTTTTCATGTGCCTGTGGCACTTGCAACTCAATGCAGATGTAAAGCCTCCTGAAGCTCGATGGTGGGTTCTGGGCTTATACAATGATGACATTGCCAGTGCCATTTTCTGGCATGAACGCTCTCAGCTAATCACAGTGGCACCTTACCTGTTATCAGTCGTATCAGTGGGTTCAAGAAAAGACTAGAAATTGGGGGTGTCCCATGACCTGGAACAGTTGGTAAACAATTAATTATCACTATATTACAGAAGGGAACTAAACATCATCATGTTTCAGGGAATGGGACACACCCAAGCTAGACACATCTCTTATCGGCAACCGCTGTGGCCCTTCGCCCCCGCGGTTGTCTGTTTCGTTGGGCCTCTGGTGGGATGGATAGACTCGGTCTAATCGTCGAACCTTCAGTTGGATGGATCCAGGGAGACGAAGAGAAAACGTCACGCGTTCAGCCCCCCAAAAACCTTTCGCAGATGCGGACGCAGCCGCTGGCGAAGCGCCGAGAGGCGGCTCGGCGTCGTTCGGGGGGGTTCTGCGGACCTTCGGTTCAGCGGAGACGCAAGGCTTCAACACCATTCAACACCTGTGAGTGGCCACTCCCCCTTTAGAGGGTGAGCTGGAAGGCCCTCCCGCGGCAAGTGCCCCGAGTTTCACCGCGGCGGTGTCTTTTCACCGACCCGGCGCGCGCGATGCTGGACGATGACCGGTGACAGGGAAGTGCTGGAGAGGTATGTAACTGTGGGCGCAGGAGGCCATGAGTAGATGGGCACAGTGCAGTTCCACATCCAGTTCGTGAAGAAAGGGTTTCCCATCTCAAGGTCTTGTGAGGAAGTTTGTCCATCCATGGCAGAAACAAGTGGAAACAGCAAAAAAAGACATCGGGATGATTTTCCCAGAAACAGCGGCTGGGGGGGGTGCTCAAACTTAACTCGGGGACCTTCTCCTCCGGATCCACCTGACGTTCTCCTTTCCTCGTGGGCAGTTCACAGCCCCGGCGGCAGGTGCGAACGCACTGGGGGGGGGGTACGTAGTGGCCATGGGCGACGGCGGCTGAACGTCCGGTGGTTCCAGCATCGCGCTGGGTGAGAAGCAACCTGGTCTTGGGATCAGGTTAGGTATGGAACAGATGGGTTTGCCTGAAGATGGTCTCCTTTGGTGTATTTTCCAAGCTAGGATCCCAGTGAAACACTGTAGATAGAAACTGTATAGACACGGTATCAATATCACGCCCCTTAGCTAAGGAGGATTTCAAGCTGGTGGGTCTGCAGGACGGCCCGTTTCAAGGTGTCAAGACGGTCCACACGGCTCACCCAAGCTGAGTTTTGCGAGGAGGAGCGGCTTGGCCCTCCGGCATGTTGGTTGATTTTTCACGAGCAGTCGCGGTGCTGTTCTCTCTCTCTCGCTCTCCGAACCAACCCTGGACAGACTTGGGGAAATCCATCCTGACTCCCAAAACTAACTTAAAGCCAGACAGTGGTGACGGTTGGTGCGCACTCAGTTAAAAGAAAGCGACATGGGTGGGGGGCAGTTGGAAGATATGCCCGTGACTCCCGTGTAGTAGGTATTCGGGTTCTTCCGCGACAGCATGACCTTCCGCGACACCATGACCTCAGACATCAGGGCTGCCCTCAGGGTTTGATAGATTGGAATTCAGATCATGATGGGATCTTGGTGTGAATGGATGTGAATGGATGTGAATGGATGTGAACGGTCGATGTCATTTTTCCAATGGATGGCGAGCCAGAAGCTCGCGGTGCCACGTTTGTGGTCAGCGGTGTTCTTTCGCTCCGCGCAGCGATTCACCATAGTCCCCTCGTGGAGGTGGTGAACTTCCCCCTGTCTGACACCAAGGGGTGCTGAGCGAACTTTGGAGCCCGATTGGCCGGGGTTCTTGGGAGCCTTGAGGCTTGATTTTCGCTTCAGCTGGAGGCTGTCCTGGATGGGTGAAGGGTGAGAGGCTTGAAGAACTCGGCGCTAGACATGAAAAGAGACCAAGCAAGTGGGAAATACTCCAGTTTCAATGAGTGGAGCAGGCATCGAGTGTGACACCCATGAACAGCCTCGCCAAGGAAGAACTAAACTGTGATTGAATTCCGAGCGTTGAGCCAATTCCCACGGCTATTTCACCCTTCATCCAGACAGTGCCGGGATGTTTCAACCTGCTTAGATGTAGGCGGGATGTAGCCTCGCCGCTCCAGCGTGCCGCTGCTCCTTGGGCCGACCGAAGGACACAACTGGGAAGCCAAGATGACTGCCCCGAAATCGGGCGAAGCATGCCCAAGCCATCCCGATGTCAAGCATACCCAAGCTGAGACATGAGGCATGCCCAGGTGCTGGCTCAATGCCTGAACCAGCAAGATTGGGTCCTTTTTGCTTACCGGTTCACCCTTCTTCTGGAAAGAATGAGAACGAAGACGTCGAGTCTCTGGGATGTTGACCTTCTCTGGGATATTCTTTTTGCAAGATGCTTCTCCAAATGGAGAACGAAACCGGACAACTCTTTGAGATGCCAAAGGCTGCTACAGTCCGACCCTCCACAGGACGTGGATTCCACCGAAGACCACCTCTTTTGTGTAAGACAAGGCTCACCTGGTGGAACCTGTGGCCATGATGGTCCAAAATAGGCTTTTTCAGCAACCCCGTTGGACCACGGTGGCCTTACGCGTGTGGTGACGGAGAAGATCATTAAATCATTAAAGGGGGGAAAAGACATTTGAGAAAGGAGGCCATGTAGGTTGGAGGCCATATTCCAAAAAGGGGAAAAAGCTGTAGGACGGGGGAAGCGCGGCATCACGTCAAATGCCGTCGCCGGGCGGAGGACATGTTTGTGTCTTTTTTTTGCGATGTCCGATGAACGAAGCATTTCGCGTGTCAGACACGGCCTGCCACCCGCACGCCAGAATAGATCATGAAAGGAATTCCATCGGTCGGAAGTTGTGGCCAAAGCCCTGACCTCCACCAACAAGATCGCAGGTGGAGAGAAAGATGTCCGTGGGTTTTGGAAGATGGATCCCAGGAGGAATTGGAACTTCGATCGCTGCCAACTGCGGAATCAACGGCCCACCGTGGGTGGTAAAATGCCCTTGGCGGCCATGTGCAGGGATGGCACGTGTGGGTGGCTGGGCGATCAAGACGTCTGGAGACATCTGCAGCGAGGAAGCTGCGGAGAACAGTATTAGAAGAGAGAGAGAGAGAGGACCCACAGCATCCCACCACTCACATCTTTCCGGAAGACCTTTTGGACCCTCTTGGATCAACATGAGCCTTGAACCTAGAAACTGCTGGCACTGAGACTGTCTTCGCTTGGGGTTTTCGGGGGTGTTCTCGGTGAGATGACTTGTAGACCTGGGCAGCCGAGCAAGCGAGTCGGGTCGACCCGAAAGAGACGACCAGGAGACCTGAAAACATGCCGTCCTTCGATTCACTGAGGAAGTAGCTTTCTTGGGACTTCTATATAGGAAGAGATTAAGACAAGCACTCGATTTGGATCATTGTTAAGATCTGGAGTTCTTGTTTTGGTGAACAGCTGTCACACATGTTCGCACCTGTTTCCGGCCCCCCATGTTCGCACCAATTGCACGTCAGACGGCAGACCGTCGGTGGCTTGCTTCATGGGATTTCATGGGCTTCGAGCTTCGCTCGAGGGGGGGGACGCTCACTGGGCGCCGAAACCAACAAGCAATTCGACAGCTCGATCAGCCAGGACCCTTGGCTGGATGTGCTTTTACCTCTATTTTTTGGGGGGGTTGTTTACTGTAATGTATGTAGACTCTTAATTGATAACCCCCCCATATGAAGAGGATTTGTCCAATTTAATGGAGGGGGTTGACCAATGGAGGGACCAATGCAGGGGGTTGACCAATCAAGAGTCTACATTACTTTGCTGGAGGAGTGGCTTTTACACGAAAAACTTGCCTTGGTTCCCTGCAAAGTAGATGGCACAGCATGGCACAGCCCTAGTTCAGTGTTGCTTTCTTAGAGCCCAGTTAGGGGACACCCCCTTTCGTTCGGATGACCATGAAATCATTCCATGGGAATGCCAAACAGGTGGTGGTGAGCTCCACTTCCATTTCAAGGAGTGTGGATTTATTTAGGTCTTTTCCACAGGTTAGGGTTGAGTGATGTCGACCGTCGGTCATCTCCCGGTCCCTGGTGGGCCCACGGGAGATTTAATTTATATATCCGCATCAGGGCCAGTAGGGGGGTCGAAGTGCTTTTTGCCTTTTCTGCATCATGTTTCAGCTACTGGGCTTCAGCCAACGTTTGAACGCTCCATTCGGTGAAGCAAGCTACGCAATCTGCGAAAGTGATGTGGTGGACGCGTCCGACGGCCCCTCATGGATTCCGGTTTTTGGGGTTCAGAAGAATGGACTGGGCGCAATGACACATACTTTGTGGTGGCACGTGGTTTTGGAAACACCAGATCCAGTACAAAGAGACTGGGTCAATATGGAGTCATATGATGTCATATGAGTCATTCTCCCTTTAAGTTCCTCCACTCCTGATTCGGGTTTGCTGGGGGATCAGATTCTGATTTGCAAGTGAATAATGCACACATATACAAGTATATGTATATATATATATACATACACACCACATGACTCCTATTGAGAGGTTCTGGTGCGTGACCACGAGCTGTACATCTCAGCCTACAATCAGCCTACACCAGGGCCCCCGAAAAAGGGGTGTCTAATTATAGCTCCTTAGAGGTTAAGGGGTCTCCATTCACCACCCCAAACAGGGGGCCCAGTTGTTGTGGGGTTTTCTTCGATCAGAGCCTTTCCACCTTCCAGGTCTTACAAAACCATGAAGCATATAGTTTTACAGGCAAAAAACACGTATTTTGCTAGGACAAACCCAATTTTTAATGCTTTGTGGGGGTTTTGTGGTGCATCCCCAGCCCCAGCGGATGTTTTTCCGTGCACGGAGGCCGAAGGACGACGATATCGCTTGGGACGCCGCGCGTCGCAGGTTGGTACGACGCGTCCGTCCTGGAGATCCCCAGCGTGTGGGAGAGCTATGCGGACTGGGCCAGGGCGACACATCCAGGCCCCGTCGCGACGTGCTCGTCGCGCGGCGACTTCGACAATTCGCGCCGGGGGGCGAGAAGTGCTTGGATGGTTGGGTTGGTTGGGTTGGTTGGCACATGTTGGCACCTTTTGAGTTCGAGCTTGAATTCTCGTGTTTGACCATTCGAGAGCGAAACGACTTGGCCGCTGCACTCCCCCTACCTCCCAAATTGGACAAAATTGTGGCCCCTAGACTTTGAGAAGAAGATCATATTCTGGGTGGCGGTCCAAAATAGAGGTCACTCCAGTAGGTCACTCCATCATGTGTTTCTGGCCTCTCCACCCTCCATGGAATGGAACGGAACTTCTTGTGGTTTTTGAGGTGCCGGAGTCTTCCACCGGCGTTGGTGCTTGTGGCGGTGCCGTGTGTGACTGAGCCCCCAAGAGCCCTAACACCAAGTGAACTATAGTGAACTAGCATGAGCAACATCATATGCCTGCGATCAATTCCATGCGGCTTCCATGGGGCAACCTTCATTTTCTCAGAGGGCCAACCTGGATCATCACTCCCCTCAACTCCTTGCATGGCTTGATGCTGGCCATATCAACATGTGTCAACCCCAGCACACGGTATAGTCTTGCAGTGTTTACAGGGACAGTCCTCCAGTTTCCAGCAGCAGGGCTGTGGCTCCTAAAAGAGCGAACCACACGCAGGTAAGCCGCTGCTCATTGCTGAAGCGGGCGCGGGGGGGGCTGGCGGGCTGGCATGGGAGGCCAGGAGAAGAGGCCTGGGAAGTGGGCTTGGGCGATCAGGTGTGAAGCCTGGAGAGGAGTAGAGGTGTCCTTGTCGCACGTGCGAGGATAAGACCTCATCAGGGCATAATGAATCTTGGGCACGGTGGGCTGGTCCTTTTTTTGTTGGAGGTGTTCATAGTGACCAGCCCTGAACTTCTTAGAGGCTATCGTGCAACGAGGCCTCTGTTTAGGCATGTTTAGGGGGGTGGTCCAAATTGCAGACACACACTGTTTGCAACAACGTTCTTGAACTGTTGGGGCTTATCCTAGCAAGCAGACACCACCCGTGGGTTCACCGTTTCTGGGTGTTCTACTTGCCTAGCTTTCCACAAACACCTATATACCCACCTCATTCCAGCTCATGAAGCTCCGATTGGAACGACCCTTCTCGATCTGCCCCTTTTGGAACGACAACGCAACGCCTCATCATGACCCCTCGGCTCACTCCCACTCCGACCGCTCCGATGTGTCGCGCAGCACGTCCTGTCCACCGAGTCGCCCGGGCAGGACCTCTGGTCCGAGGAACTGCAAGCGTCGATCGTAGGCGCCGGGAACGTCGGGTCCATGCGGTCACAACGGCGGTGTCTTTGGGTTTCACCGCTCCGGGTGGCAGTGGAGCGGTGGAGTTTGGGGGGGAGGTGGATTTGGAATCGGCATTTCTTTTTTAAAGCCGCCTCTTTTTCCAGGTGCCACCCTGAGTGCGGCCTTGGCCGCGGGCTACATCGGCGTGGCGCTGTGGCAGTTCGCGGACGTGCGCGTGGACGGCGCGCTCTACTGGAGCGAGCGGCCCACGGCGGAGGAGGAGGAGGGGCGACTTGGTGTTGGAAGCTCTGGGCATGGAAGAAGGAGCCCTCACGTGAACCTTCTTAGACTCTAAGGACTCTAAACATTTGTTTCATAGAATCAGGAGTCTAATAAAAGGGAGCTTCTTTTTTGGATGTTTGCTTGGCAAGTCGCCCAAGTAGAGTTACCACCTGGGTGGTAGCTAAAGGATATTTTTGGTTTCAACCTTGACTTGGGATGAGCAGACGCCCGCTGACTCATATGTTTGCAAGTGAGTTGAAGCCACCAACCGGGTGATGATATGCCTACCTAGAACCTGATTGACCCCTGTTTTTTAGCCAGAACATGGTCTGGTTCTTATCAACACAGAGGTCAAATGCGTTCCCGGTAGACATGACCCCTGTTTTGATAAGAGTTTGACCATCTAACCTGGGTGGCTGCCGGTGCCACCATAGAGGTCACGACCAGGTTGAAAAAAAAAGTATATGTAAAGGGCCACCCCCCGCAAGTCGTGGACATTCCTTAACCACCTTGAGGGGCCTTTTTTTGACATCACTCCATTTGATAAACACTTTCCTGGTCCGTTTTGGGCGAACCAGTCGTACCTCCAAACCGGTTCGGTATGACTCCGACCCGAACGTAACACCGACCAGTCCCACCTTCTGGGTCTCGCCACCCATGCCACTGGCTTACCCACCCCAAGGCTGCCAGAGGTGCTTGTGAATGTCTCTTCCGGCGCGGAGTGGATGGAGTCCTGGCAGAGATGGCGCGAAGTCTGGAGGAACCACTTCCAACACCCACGGAAGGAGCGGGTGGTGTTTTGATCCGATGGACACATACATAGGAAAAGCACCCCAACTCCGTGGTCCGGGTTGAAGATTCCTTTTCTCTTTTGCGGGGGAAGGGTTTTGCAAGAACTCTCCAAGAACCCTATTCTACTGTAACTGTCCATGTGTCCTTCAGCCAAAGAGCTCAAACTTGCAGTGCAGCTACCCAGAGAAGCATACCTCCAAAACTCTCCAAGTTGACCCTACAGCCTACAGTACACGTTTTGTTTGTTTAGTTGTTCTTTCTTTGGATGTCATGTGTGTAGCAGACTGGGGGTGATGAGACAGGAAGCTGACTGGGAGTCTGTGCTGCGGGATCGCGTGGGCATACTCGTTTCTGTGGGCGTCAGGTCCTCAAGCTTGGTGGACACAACCGGCAGATGCGTTGACCAACAAGGTTTCTCTACAACATGACTCCAGAATGGTCAGCAAATGGTCTCTTAAATCATGTCCTCGACCAGGTATTTGATACCACTTTGTAGAGCAATCACTTTTGCTGCATGGCTGTTTTGTGCACTTTTCAGCATAAGATAGTGATCTTCAGGCATCATCATTTTGTACGAGCCCACTCTGGCCCATGCCATTTTGTACAAGCCCAATGCCCTTGGGTCAGGGCTTTTTGCAGACTGCAACCCTGGTGCCCATACAAAACTGCGGGACTCAACCCCTCCCCCTTTATTTTAACGGGGATGAATATCCGTTAGCTTCGCACTGTGCCTGACTGTCAGACAGTTCTCCTCGTCATCCCTTCTGCCCAAAAACTGTGCATCCGAATCCCTAGGGCTCCAACTACCTTCTGAGAAGGTGGGACTGGGGTGGGTTTGGAGGGTTTTTATTGAAGGTGAAAGAAAACCCTTCTCCTTCTTTTTCTGCTTGAGGCACGCGCGTCCGCGCGCGCGCGGTCCGAGGAGCGCGTGGCGGTGGTTTACCAGAGCATCAACAACCTCTTCGGTCAGCACCGACCCTTAAGGCCGCGCGAGTTGAACAACAAGGGCCTCCTCTCCTTGTCGAGGCGCGAGTTGGGTCACACGGAACGCGGGCCCACGCGAGTCCACGCGAGCTTCCACTTGAGTCCACGTGGCGATGAGGAAGCCACCAGAAGCAGGTACCTGCGGGGAATCCAGGGAACAAGAAGAGATCCTGGGAGGTGTGTGGAAGCTGTCTTGCATCCCTGAGATCTAGAGACCTGGAAGGATAGGGCCTAATGATGGACGCTCCTGGATGCTGTTGGACCATGATCTGTGCACTCGATTTTGAGCAGGGGGCGCCTGTCAAGTCGGAGACTCTAGGTCTTGCTTCCGGGGAGCCTTCTTAGTCTGTCTCTCCAGCAGCGCCCTTCCTCGCGGCCGCAGGCAGCACAAGAAGTTGGCCTTCTACGCGGCGCAGGCGGGGGGAGCTCATGTGGTCGAGTTGAGGTCGGTCCCTGTGCCCCGTGGCCGGACCGCGGGTGTCACCCCCCCTTTTTGTGGGCTTCTGAAGGTCTGACCGTGAGTCGAAGGTGAGTCGGTGAGTCATAATAGGAGAGAGGTTCAGTGACCGTAAATAGGACCCGTAGCCTGGGGTACCGAACTGGTATAGTCTATAGGGTCATGAAAAACCTTTGTTGGTAGGAGAGGGGGGGTAGGGTAAAGTAGGGTCACCCGTTTCTCGGGTTTTTGGTGACAGAGATGTGGAGCTCTGCGAAGCCCCACATGATCCAGATGTTTCCAAAGCGACATGAAACGGTTTTTGATGTTTTATTTTTTGGGGCCTGGTTGAGCCATAACTACAGTTTTAAGGTTTCAGTTCAACCGTGCACCAGGAATTGCGGCACCTGCAACACCTGCGCCCAAAAACATTGATCTCTCCACAACATCCCCAGAAGGCTACTCTATCCGCACTCCATCCGCCCCCAGCTCTCATGCTTTTCGACTCGTCCAAGGATGCCTTCCGTCCCTGTGTGCCGCTGGTTCCTGGGCAGCCCCTGCCACCGGAGCAAGAGCAGCTCTTTATGGCCCGGGCCGACCGAGAGGAAGGCGTCGTGAATGTGCACGTCGCAAGACGGGCCAACGTTGGGAGAGAGGAAGCGTCCAGACAGAAATGGAACGGACTTCCGGACTGGAAGCAGAAGGACTGGAAACTCGTTGGTTGGGACACTGAGGGTTGTTCCATGTTGTGTAGGACGATGCCTCGCCCAGACCAGCGATGTAAGACCAGGCGTTGTCTCAGTCGGAGCTCCCTCGAAGGCCAATGTTGTGAGGTTGGCTGTGTGAAAGAGGCTGGAATCCTGACTCATAGAAGCTGTAGTGTTGTTGGGGAAAAACCAGTGTCAAGGTTCAACCATTTCTGGTCGAAGGTTGTTTAATGTAGACTCTTGATAAACATGGTCCGCCCACCTATAAAGTGGTACTGCCATCCAAAATGGCGGGTTATTTTACTTATATTATATACTGTATATATCAAGCGTCTGCATTACAGAGATCAGCGGCTGGCGTGCCGCGACACCGACTTCACAAACTTCACTGAGGGGATGGGTCTGTCCCAGGAAACCGGTCACAGTCAGTAAACAAGCAAATCCCTGTTTTTGAACAAGGCCTGCAACCAGGCCCCATCATCCAAAGGATAGATCCAACATCTTCCCGGGCCCTGTGAGCCGGATGCTTTGTGGATGGCACCTCGCGGCACCGTGGTAAGCGCTGACATCAGCTGAGACCGACTTGAAGAATCAGTCCACGCTGCATTGGGGGCATACACTCACGTCCGTAGCTTCTTGTTACTAGAGGAAGCGGAGTTCACCATCTGTTTGGGATTCGAACAACGTTCACTCCCTGGGGGCCATGCCATCCACGTAGCCATGCTTATTCGGAGGGCATGACCCCTTGTGTCCACCGGCGCCGCGCTCGGTCTCGCTCCTGGCTGCCAGGCTGCCCTGGATGCTTCTTAGCAGTGCACACCTGGAATGTGGCTGACAGGCCAGGGATGCACTCTCCGACTCACTCATGAAAACCCTCTGCCCATGGAGCGCAATGGTCCTCCAGGGGCCTATTTTCCACTTCCTTGTTAATAAGTTAGAGTCAGAGTGTATTCATGGAGGGTCACAAGGGGTAAGAAGCGAGGATCCAGGAATTGTTGCATCAATTTTGCACCACCTGCGACTCCTTTCTTTCTACCAGACCTGAGGGTAGGCTCGAGAGAGGACACGATCGAACTGGGGAGGTCGGACCTCCCACCCCAGTCGCAGTCCCAGAAACATCAGGACTCCTCGATCGTTTCGATCCTTTGAGGCGACTGGACGACGAAAGATCATCGTCTCGAGACGACCAACTGGGTGCGGTAAGAGTTCTCCACTCCAGCTTTTCCTTACAATCCGATGAAATACCAGCACCTCCAACGGGTCACCAATTGAAACCTGTTAGGGCCCTTCCCAACCCTCCATTTCGGAGACCTGTTGGAAGGTGTTGGTATATAGGTATTAAAAAAACACCACCGGTGTGGGCATGGCCATGCATGGCCTGCCCAGATGCAGCGGAGAAGTGCCCGAGCGCGGGCCCCGTGCCGTGCACCCGCCAGGCCTCCGGACGAGCCGGGCGTGCGCGTGCACGGCCACCAGCTGGACAGCCGAGCGGGTCACTGGTCGCTGCGGCGCGGCTTGCTGCGCTTGGCAGGCGCCGGAGCGAAATCGGGGGTGGGACGGTCATGGGAGGTCCCAGAAATGGTGACCGGAGCAGTTCAGTGGGACATTCATGTTGACGGCTTTGGTGCAGGGTTTGGTAGAAGTGCCGTGAAGCCAAAGGGAGGGAGGTCCCCCCAAAATGATGACCGGAGCCGCAGGTCAGTGGGACATTACAAGAGGCGCGTGGCCTAACCTCCTGCGCCACGGAACGGTTTCGTGGCACCGCCACGCAGCTGTGTTTGGGGGGTACCCGTCACAGCCGGCATGGGAGCCGCGGCATTCGAACCAGAGACCGGCCGGGCCGGTGCCGGCTCATCCGCGTCGACGGGAGGTTTCGTGCTCCGCGGGGGGCCCCCAACTGATCCACGATGCCCGATCTGGTGGCCCTGGGGAGTTCTCGATGCGACCCACGTGGCCCGACGGCCTGCAGTGGCTTCCCCCAACCACCCACCACCCGACCAGAAGGTGGTTTCCCCCTTGCGGCGGGGGCGGGGGCGTGGGGGCGGACGACGGGCGAGTGGGGGGGGACCTGATCTCCAGGCCATGTGGATGGACGCCTGTCGGGTGTGGGCGGCTTCCTGAGCGTCTCAGGCGGGAGGGTTTTGGGGTTCGAAGAGGTGGAGGATTGGAGGGAAGATGATGGGAAGATGGTGCATGCCAGCTTGTTACAGACGGTGGCCGTTTCAGGCAAAAGGGGGGTTTTGATCACCCCAGCTTGCATTCCCCAACTCCCCCGTCAAAGCCAGTGAACAGGAATCCTGTCAGCCGGATCCCCGGCGACCTCGACGTCTCGAGTGATGCCGTTATCGAAGAAGGGCCTTTCTTTGGAGGTCCTTATCGAGCCTGATCAGTAAGAGCCTTCCTAGGTGATGGTTTCGGATATTTTTTTCAACCCTTACTTGGGGATGATTGGACCCTCTGACTCATATTTTTCCAAGTGGGTTGAAAACACCCACCAGCTACAGTACTGGCTTTAACAGGCCTTATTTCTAGGAGTCTTTGGTAGACCTCCACGCAGTCCACCGACCTGCAGTCCAGTCCACCGGTTTCGACCGCAGCCCGCCCACGGTGCTGATGCCTGATGCCGACAGCCGGCACCAGGTGCTCGAGACGCGACCTCCAGCTCTGTGGCGGTCAGGGAGGTTGGAAGACACCGGGAAGGGCAGAGGTCTTCAGGGTTGTTCGGCTAGTGTTTCTGGGAAGGAGGACTTGGGGTCCAGGTCGGAAGAGAGAGAGAGAGAGAGAGGGAGAAGTCCTTGAACTTTGCCACATGTCTGAGCAGGGGTTGTTTGTAGCTTTGGAAGATGCTGTAGAACGTGTCAAGAGCCTAATATATATTAGGAGCTTAGGGGATTTCAGCCAAACGGAGTTGATCGGGCACCAGCTATTCAAGGTGGTGCCATCATAAGTGCCTAATGCACTGCTGAACTTGGGCTGGCTGTTGCATGGTTACTGGCCATGCTCTCCACTCCGCCGGGCCCGGTTCCACTCCGCCGGGCCCGGTTCCACTGGGGAAAGCAAAGGCTTTCTCTTGGCTTGGGGAGCGTGACGCAGCGTGACTGGCGCATGTCTGCGCACGTGGATCTGCTAAAGGCTTTGTTTGGAGGGAGCTAACCCTTCCCCGCGAAACTTCAACAAGAACAGCTACCAGGACCCGCTGTTGGGGTGATATAATGGAGACCCCTTAACAGCGTTTGGGCCTAGGGATGATCAATAGAAGCCCCTTGGGGGGTCCTGATAGAAAGTTCGGTTCATCTTTTCCATCCAGGCCGCGCTGTCGCTGTGGCGATGGGAGCCGGTGGCAGCACCGAACGCTAACGGCCACGGTGCTTCCGAACGGTGCCACAGTTGCAATTGAATGAAGTCGTTGAAGGAGCTGCAAACATGATTTTGATGCGACTTGGACTGGGTCTGTTGGAGTTTTGGATGAATCTGAAAGCAGGGCTCTTGCTCAAAACGAGCTGCGTTTCATCACACGCAGCGACGCTACGCTACTCTCCTACCCCTGTTGGAAACACACGCGACGTACGCGGTGCACTCTGCCATGAATCCCTACAGATCGATCTTCAATCTTTTCTAGAGTGGTTTCAGAGTAGATGGCACCATCCCCCAAGTTCGGTGGTGATATGGAGCCTCACATGAAAAACCTGGAGTGCCAATGGCACAGTGCCATCTACTCTGAAACCACTAATCCGTTCGTTTCATCTTGGGCTGGATCGAGTGAGGGCCTAGCTAAGAAGTCGATGATGCATGAGGACTGGCTGCGATGGACCAACCAAGAGAGGTTGAAGAGCCCGTGTTGTCGCCCATCCCATATGTACCACATCCCAGGGTCCCAGTTCTGGTCTCTCAACCTCTCTTGGAACGTATGAAAACCATACCCTGAAGGCCTGAAGGGTTCGGAACCTAGACCAGTCTACCCGCCAGGCCGCGCCAGGGAGATCGCATCCGAAGCTCAGACACGGGTTGGTCTTGAGTCTCAAGACCCAGACCCTTCCTTATTCAATGCACACCATGAGCCTGCACCTCCTTTCCAAAAGATTACGCCTACTGTCTGATCTTGCATGTTCCAGAAAGATCCAGAATCCAAATAGGATCTTCCTTCAATTCATTTTGGGGGTATTTGAGGCCATCGCTACTGGGGTGGAGGCCGCATCACCCACACCAAGGCCCTTCCTTTTGCGCGTCATCGCCGGCCCGCGCTGCGGTGCCGTGCTGTCGCTGAGCGGCGCTGTGCCGCGCCACTCGGAGCCCGTACCGTCTAAGGAGTGGGCCGTCCAAGAGCTGTAGAAGACAGCTTTGGTTCCTTTTTGGGGTTCCCTTATGTAAATAGCAAAAATAGGGTTCCCTTATTTTGTTTTTGGTGCTTTTTTTGACCTGGGAACGGGTCGTTTGTTTGTTCTTCTTTGGTGATTTGCCAGTGTGCCCATTGGCCAAATGGGCCTCATCCGAATCCGAAGAGACATTTTCTTGAAATATCGAGCCAAGGTCTACCCGGGTTTGATCTCTCTGATTAATTTAGTGGATTGCTCAGTGCTTATCCCTCCAAGAAGAGAAGTTCTTCCACTGCCTTCACGCCAGCGGCTCACATTTTTGTAACACCTCATGATGGTTGGGAAACCGGACCTTTGAGTCGGTCGCCCTTCGGTTGGACGGACTTCTGAGCTGCTCCGACTCGTGCTCGTGCTGCAGCGGCATGCTTAGCGTAGAGTATGTGTGAGACGGGAGACGGCCATGTGGGGGAGTAGAGGCCAGGCCAGCTATGTAGATGGCACTGGCACCCCCGTTCGATGACTTAGACAGAAGGGGGGGTCGCTTCGTAAAATACCCAACTTGGGGCGTGCCATCATCATGTGCCATCTGCTCTCACTCCGGACTTTGAGGAACTAGTTGAGTCCACTGAAGGAGAGGAAGGTTCTTCACCTGCCTCTGCCTGAAATCCCAGGGGATGAGAAGTCCGTGTATGCGACCGTGCAGCTGATGCTTGGGTTGGCAAGCAGTTTTTGGAGGAGTGAAAAGACCAATGGGCAAACCCAAAGCGGACACGGGCAGCTACGGCGTTCAGGAGCGGTTCTATGTGGGTTTTGTATTTAGGGCAACCCCTCCACCAATTTCTGGTGGTCTATCTTCCTTCCACGGGGTCGACAGGGTCTTCCCATTTTATACACACCCACCGATTCGGATACTGTGTCTTAAACCGGTTCCTTGAGATGGGGGTGCATGTTTTCTTTTCACACGGTGTTCTGTGATATAGGCATACCCTCTGGCACCCCAGTGTAGTGGAAGGGCTTCGAGGGGCGGACAGCGAGACCGCAAGTCGTGTTGTGGAGTGTTGAACGGTATTTTTTTCTCCTCAGGCGAAGCGAGCCAAGGCCATCACCCCAATGATGTGCTTCAAGAACTGCTGGGAAGTCGGATGTTTGGCCTCGTAAGTCCTTGGACCCTAGAGGTCTATCAGTGCCAGGAGTCCAGTGTTCGTGCCAGGAGTCCACATGGATGAGAACATGATTGAATGACTGGGTATGGCTCAAACCATTTTTCATACTTTGGTTCACCATGGTTCACCCCTTTTTTAATGCCATTCTTCTTAGAACACCAAGCTGAACCACGGATTCCTCCGATCCCCCGACCTTCCCTGCACCCTTCGGACTGCCTCAGAACACGTGGGCCTTTAGGCGCCCACATGCACGAAGCCTGCCCCCCCTCCGCACAGGAACAGGACTCCCTCCCGCCGTCCCGCTCAGGGATCCGTCCTTGGGCACCCTCTTTTGGCTCCAGCCGACCTGAGACGGATGGGGTGCAGCAGTCAAAAGTGCGGGGTGCTGCGGGGATTTCGCACCGGAGGAAGGGACGGGAGATGGGAGATGGTGAGCGCGCCTTGCTGCTGTTCCAGAGTCTAGAGAGCAAGATTGAGAAGAGATGACATCACCCATCAGCCAGAAAGCAGGACGTAGGAATACTCCTGGGAAGAACCTGAAGAAGTGGTTTACCCCCGATGATCGGAGATGTACATGATTCTGGTGGCTGTCCTTCATCAACCTTCTATAGGCTCTATCTCATCATGTCTCGGCCACACGAGAGTGAAGGTACACAGGTCCACATCTTCCATCCATACCCAGAACTGAAGTGCAAGAGCATGGGCTGCTTCTGCAGATGACTTCTGCTTCTACTTCCAGGCTTTTTAAGACGAGTTACTTGTGCAAGAGGCCTAGAGTTACGTGCGCATACAGATGCCCGTTCTCCAGACCGTGTAACTAGCGCAATCCCAGTCGGTCATTGGAGGTGTTCGGGGGCCAAACTCCGAAATGGGCCCTTTGGGAAGCTTAAGGAGGGGTTCTGTTAAAAGTGGACCCTCGATGACTGAAGGCCTTTCTTTTTGACTTCTTTTGATCCCCTCATGCTCGGCGGTTGCTTCCTTTTGGGCTGGGTGTTTTTTTTTTTTTATGCTAATGGTTTTTTTTCTTATGCTCACAGCGGGGTTGGTGTGCTTTTAGGGTATGGGTTTCTTTTTTTATGCTTATAGTGCTTTTTTTATGCTAATGGTTTTTTCTGTTATGCTTGCAGTTCTTTCTCTTATGCTCCTGGTTTCTTTTTTTATGCTCATGGTTTCTTTTTTTATGCTAAGGGTTCTTTTTTTTTATGCGGCACTGTGGGAAGAGGTCACGTTGGGGGGTCCTAGTGCAGAATGTAATTGTCAGGAGGGTTTAGTGCAGAATGTAATTGTCGGGAGGCTTTAGTACAGAATGTAATTGTCGGGAGGTTTTAGTACAGAAAGTAATTTTCGAGAGGTTTTAGTACAGCAAGTAATTGTCGGGAGGTTTGAGTACAGAAAGTAATTGTCGGGAGGTTTTAGTACAGAAAGTAATTGTCGGGAGGTTTTAGTACAAAACGTAATTGTCGGGGGGCTTTAGTACCGAATGTAATCGTCGGGGAGTTTTAGTACAGAATTAAATGTCGGGGGCCTTTAGTATCGAATGTAAGCGTCGGGGTGTTACCGAATGGACAATTATTCATGAACGAACCGTTCAGTGAAAGGTGATGCATTCGTCAGCAGAAACCGAAAAGTGATGAGTTCCAGTATCAACTGATATCAATTGTTTAAATGAACGGTAGAAATGTGGCCAAATGGGCTCCAGTCAGAAATCAGGGTCGCTTCGTGCGGCCCACCCGGCCCGGCCCCTTTTTCATGCGGGATTGATGATCATTAATGCTGGACCTGAACAAAGCTGGCAAAGTCAGCTGTGGACAGTGGTTGTAGCATGATCATCTAACCTCTCGGCAATCGTGCCCGGTTCACAAAAGATTCGCATCCTGTCCTTGCTGTACGGTGCTGCTTGGCCTGAAACTCCTGGGAGGCTGGAAGGAGAGGTGCAGTCTCATGAATGTAATCGTCGGGGAGTTCTAGTAATCGTTTGGCTCCAGACTTTTTCTGCCCAATATTGCACTGCGTGGCATAAAAAGAAGGTATGCTCGTCGTTGCTCGCGCACTTACATCGTGAGAGGGTCTTCCAAGTTGACTGACCCTTTGGTGAGCCACCCGAGGGTAAAATTTAGAGAAGGATGTTGCCATTTCAGCTTGACTCACCCTTTTGTGGGCCATGCAGGGGTAAAATTTAGAGAAGGATGTTGCCATTTCAACTTGACTCACCCTTTAGTGGGCAGGGGTAAAATTTAGAGAAGGATGTTGCTCTTCCAAGTTGACTCACCCTTTGGTGAGCCACCCGAGGGTAAAATTTAGAGAAGGATGTTGCCATTTCAACTTGACTCACCCTTTTGTGGGCAAGGCAGGGGTAAGATTTAGAGAAGGAAGTGGTCATTCCAAGTTGACTCACCCTTTGGTGAGCCACCCGAGGGTAAAATTTAGAGAAGGATGTTGCCATTTCAACTTGACTCACCCTTTTGTGGGGTAAAATTCAGAAGGATGTTGCCATTTCAACTTGACTCACCCTTTTGTTGGCAGGGGTAAAATTTAGAGAAGGATGTTGCTCTTCCAAGTTGACTCACCCTTTGGTGAGCCACCCGAGGGTAAAATTTTGAGAAGGATGTTGCCATTTCAACTTGACTCACCCTTTTGTGGGCAAGGCAGGGGTAAAATTTAGAGAAGGATGTTGCTCTTCCAAGTTGACTCACCCTTTTTAGAGAAGGATGTTGCCATTTCAACTTGACTCACCCTTTTGTGGGCAAGGCAGGGGTAAAATTTAGAGAAGGAAGTGGTCATTACAAGTTGACTCACCCTTTGGTGAGCCACCCGAGGGTAAAATTTAGAGAAGGATGTTGCCGTTTCAACTTGACTCACCCTTTTGTGGGCAGGGGTAAAATTTAGAGAAGGATGTTGCCATTTCAACTTGACTCACCCTTTTGTTGGCAGGGGTAAAATTTAGAGAAGGATGTTGCTCTTCCAAGTTGACTCACCCTTTGGTGAGCCACCCGAGGGTAAAATTTAGAGAAGGATGTTGCCATTTCAACTTGACTCACCCTTTTGTGGGCAAGGCAGGGGTAAAATTTAGAGAAGGAAGTGGTCATTCCAAGTTGACTCACCCGAGGGTAAAATTTAGAGAAGGATATTGCCATTTCAATTGTGGGCAGGGGTAAAATTTAGAGAAGGAAGTGGTCATTCCAAGTTGACTCACCCTTTGGTGAGCGACCCGAGGGTAGAATTTAGAGAAGGATGTTGCCATTTCAACTTGACTCACCCTTTTGTGAGCCATGCAGGGGTAAAATTTAGAGAGGGATGTTGCTCTTCCAAGTTGACTCACCCTTTGGTGAGCCACCCGAGGGTAAAATTTAGAGAAGGATGTTGCCATTTCAACTTGACTCACCCTTTTGTGGGCAAGGCAGGGGTAAAATTTAGAGAAGGAAGTGGTCATTCCAAGTTGACTCACCCTTTGGTGAGCCACCCGAGGGTAAAATTTAGAGAAGGATGTTGCCAATTCAACTTGACTCACCCTTTTGTGGGCCATGCAGGGGTAAAATTAAGAGAAGGATGTTGCCATTTCAACTTGACTCACCCTTTTGTGGGCAGGGGTAAGATTTAGAGAAGGATGTTGCTCTTCCAAGTTGACTCACCCTTTGGTGAGCCACCCGAGGGTACAATTTAGAGAAGGATGTTGCCATTTCAACTTGACTCGCCCTTTTGTGGGCAGGGTAAAATTTAGAGAAGGAAGTGGTCACTCTAACTTGACTCACCCTTTTGTAGGCCATGCAGGGGTAAAGTTTAGAGAGGGAAGTGGCCATGCCAACTTGACTCACCCTTTTGTGGACCCATGCAGGGGTAAAATTTAGAGAAGGATGTTGCCCTTCCAAGTTGACTCACCCTTTGGTGAGCCACCCGAGGGTAAAAATTAGAGAAGGATGTTGCCATTTCAACTTGACTCACCCTTTTGTGGGCAGGGTAAAATTTAGAGAAGGATGCTGCCCTTCCAAGTTGACTTACCCTTTGGTGAGCCACCCGAGGGCAAAATTTAGAGAAGGAGGTTGCCATTTCAACTTGACTCACCCTTTTGTGGGCAGGGTAGAATTTTGAGAACCCTTTGGTGACCCTCGGGTGGGTAAAATTTAGAGAAGGATGTTGCCATTTCAACTTGACTCACCCTTTTGTGGGCAGGGTAAAGTTTAGAGAAGGAAGTGGTCACTCCGACTTGACTCACCCTTTTGTGGGCCATGCAGAGGTAAAGTTTAGAGAGGAAAGTGGCCATGCCAAGTTGACTCACCCTTTTGTGGGCCATGCAGGGGGTAAAATTTAGAGAAGGATGTTGCCATTTCAACTTGACTCACCCTTTAGTGGGCAGGGGTAAAATTTAGAGAAGGATGTTGCTCTTCCAAGTTGACTCACGCTTTGGTGAGCCACCCGAGGGTAAAATTTAGAGAAAGATGTTGCCATTTCAACTTGACTCACCCTTTTGTGGGCAAGGCAGGGGTAAAATTTAGAGAAGGAAGTGGTCATTCCAAGTTGACTCACCCTTTGGTGAGCCACCCGAGGGTAAAATTTAGAGAAGGATGTTGCCATTTCAACTTGACTCACCCTTTTGTGGGCAAGGCAGGGGTAAAATTTAGAGAAGCAAGTGGTCATTCCAAGTTGACTCACCCTTTGGTGAGCCAGTGGAGGGGTAAAATTTAGAGGAGGAAGTGGCCATTCCATCTTGACGACCCTTGTAAGTGAGCAAACATGCGGGAAAGGGCCTGAGTCTCCCCGATGGACTGTGTGCGCGCATGAGTCAAATGCTAACAAAATGTGTGTGCGCAGATGAGCCGCCGCCCTTCCAATAAAGCCCCGCGACAATTACATTCTTCACTAAGCCCCGCGACAATTACATTCTCCACTAAAGCCCCGCGACAATTACATTTTCCAATAAAGCCCCGCGACAATTACATTCGTTAGCATAAAAATAAAAACCCGCAGCATAAAAATAAAAACCCTCAGCATAAAAATAAAGACCGTTAGCATAAAAAAAAGAACCCACCCAAATCCAGCATAAAAAAAAGAACCGTTAGCATAAAGAAAAAAACTATTCCCCTTCCTTTTGCCCAGCCACTGCCCCTCCGAGCGGTCCGCTCGGCACCTCACCGCGCGGCTCACCGCGCGCGAGCAGAGCCCGTGCGTCGTCCGAGGTGAAGCTTGAACAGGACTCGGGCGCTCAAGTGGTGAGGCCAGTGGCCCGGCGCCCCAGTGGGGCGCCCCTTTTCGCGGCCCCCGAGGAGCCGACGTGGTCTGGACGAGGCGACAGGCCAGAAGCAGAGTTGTTGGGCTAGTTTTGGAAGATGTGGGGAAGATTCCCCTTGAGGCCTTCAAGGCGATACAGTGATATTACCGCCTTTCCTTGCAACAGGTTCGTGGGGTAGTGGACGGGGAGGGCGAGAGGGTCGACGCTCTCGACAGTGCAGCCGAGGGACCATAGATCGCTTATCCCTGGAAGTGCCGCCTGCTTTCCTCACACCAAGCCACACCACAGCCCTTGAATCTATCCAAAGCACCTTTGGAATGTTTTCCAAGCTGCTGGCCATGGCATTGCTGGGAGGCTCCGTATACGCATAGGTTTGGAAGGCGGAACTGGCCCGGCTTGGGACTGGACCGATTGAAGTAAAGGAAATTCCTCCAGGAGTCACAGAGCTCGGGGTGGTGGGGCTCGTCCCATCCAGTGAGTGGATGTGACAGGGGCACCCCAACTACCTCCATGGAGAGCACCCCGAGCGACCTGTGACTGCTGAAAATGCCTCTTCCCCGTTCGGCGGTCTTCGACTCTGCCGTCCGACCGTCCGAAGCTCCTTCGACTCGCCGAAGGACGACGGCGACTCCTTCACGAACGAGCCGCCGAACCGACGGGCGAACGAACCGAACCGCGAACGAACGAGCCGTGGACGCCGAACCGCGCCGAAGCGCGCTGGACGCGTGGCGCTGGACGCGGCGGGCGCCCTAAGGAGGTGAGGCGAACCGAAAGCAAGAAGGAGAGCTCCAAGGCCGGTGAAGGGAGGGATTTCCGGTAGACTCCGGGGAGGTCGCTGAGGTGTTGAAGGAGGAATCCTTCTTTTTTTTGGAGGGAGGTATACCGTTATACCCGGTTTGAAGGGTTATGGCTTAGGAGGGTTGAAACTTAACACGCAGTGTAAACACTGCTGCCTCTTCTAGCTGTGGAGTGTGATCAGTTTCTGTGATTCAAGTTTCGGGATCCATTAGCCTTCAGAGTGGGACTGGTTCTCAGGTGATGTGGGGTGCGCGGAGCCCACTCAATCCCTGCAGTTGTGAGGTGAACTAGAGCGGCCGAGCGAGGCTCTTGGCCTGCGAACGCTGATGATGCTGCGCAGAGTGCGTGCATGTTGGATTTGAAAGCCTCCACCTCGGGCAAATACCTGGTGAGAACATATGAGAACCATAAACGGATGTTTCTTCTTAGCTCAGCCGGTGGCACGGCAAGTGGCCATGGCAGGAAACGCCCTGCTTCATGGACAAGCCGTCATGGACACCCTGCTTCAGCCCTTCTTGCCACATCCGGCTGGAAAAATCATGGTGGTTTATGCAACATGGTCATCCGACAGACCAACCAATATTCAAACCATGCCATCCACGTGTGGTCGCCTGGTGGGGAGAAGCCCGAAGCCAAACCGCCTGAGTTCAAATGCGAGGTCCTGGAACCGTCCTACAGGCAGCACATGCGCTACATATAAATATGAAGAATAGGAATCCATCAATCAAGCAAGAACAGTTCAAGCTTCTCATTTGCCCCTAAACTGACCCAAGTGGGTTTCTTATGGTTTCTTGAGAGTACGGCTCAGTCCGCCGAAGCTTCTAGACGTCCTATCAGCCACACTGGCTCATGGCATGCGGCTGGCGGACCTGGCAGCTGTGGTGTTGGTGGCCAGCAGCGCAGGTGGGGCAGCCAGTACGTGTATGATGGGATCGACTTCCACATCATCAGAGTGGTTACTTAAGGCTTAAACGTAAACGTCGAGGAACAATCAGGAAAAAATCCAGGACCACCCTCATGTAGACGGTTGATTGGAGTCAATATGTTCTCTCCAATGGATATCTCTTCATACCAGGAGTCACAAAGGGGTGCCTATTGGAGGATAGGGGTGCCCATTATCCACTCACTTAGGGGACTTAGGGACCAAACACCACCCCGGACCACCCCTTTGTGATCCCTGGTATGTGTTTTTAAATCAAGAAGGTCTACATGAATGCTCCCACTTTTTTGCGACATCGGATCGACCACCGTGAGGTGTGGGAAAGTTTGGATTCTCATTTCCGTCGCTTCGTCGACGCCTTATGTCTGCCATGTAGGGACGCCAGTTTTCCAACAGAGGTTAGGTGACCTGAAAATAGGACGCGTCACCTGGGGTACCAAAGAAGGATAGTCAAACATAGGCTTCTTCAACCTCTGCTGGTTCTTGTTGGGGTCACTTGGACATAACTTACTGTGAGATACGGGCGAGCGATACGCTTAGCACCACTCCCGAAAGCGCCTGGCGCCAGCACCGTGCATCGGAGGTGCCCATCAGGCAGCCGTCCAGCTGACTGGTCCAGTTCATGATCGGCTCCAGAGGACGTTGCACGTGAAGCCATTTTGGACTCCTAAACCGGAGCTTTTGCAGGTCTCGGTCCTTCAGAATCTGCCAGGTCTCGGTCTGGGTTTGTTCGGTTGGCACATCCCGAGGTCCCGGTCAGGTCGACCTTCTGAAGCTTCCGGGCCCGCTCGCGTCGGCCCCCCGACTCCCATCTGAAACGCTCCTCCCATCCGACTGCCCATGGTCCTCCGCGTCCCGCCCGGCGGAGACGTAGGATGTGCCGGGCGGCGAACGCCACGGCGAGGGACTTGCTGATGTCGTGGGCGCAGAAGCGCTACGAGGCGAAGCGAGGGTGTGGTGCGATGGAGTGCTGGGTGGTGCTGGGCAGTGCGAGGAACCCAGAGGACCACTTCCCTCAGAGGGACCGGTCGAGGCTTCACGGCTGGTGTTTTGTACCGGTCCCTTCGCCGTTTCTCCGTGCTCGGTTCCACGAACTCAAAGGAGCCAAGAGGACGATGAAGGGGCTTAGGACTCAGAGGTTTTGAGGCTGGCGAGCTTGAAAGAACAGCGTGCCAAATGGAATCACCGTCCAGCTGCCAGCTTCTTCCGAGCGTGGCGCAGAGATCGCCGCTGCTGCGGCTGCTCTGCCCACCAAAGTTGTTACACAATTGACGACATCGGATTCGGATCAACACCATCATCAATCAACTGGCTGCTGGCTTCATGCCAATCTTACCTACATGGTATACGGTAACCGCCGATGGTTTTCGAGTCCCAAAACCGCCCAAAACACGTGCTGGCCAGGTTTGACCGAATGGCGGGCCCCCAAGAACCTCCCCATCACCGACGTTGCGTCCCCAATTCGCCCCGAGGCACTGGGCCTGGCGCCGACTCCGATGAGACCGCGTCACGCGGACGAGTGGCACTCGGCGCGACGAGTGCCTCGTCCTCGCGCGGAGTGGCAGGCGCACGCGCGCGCGCGCGGTGTGGAACCGCGGGAGCGTCTCGGTGTTCATGGTGTTCATGGTGTTGGGGTGAAGGACCAAACTCAATCGGTTCAGGCCATAGGACCGGACATGTTTTTGAATGGTGATGTTTTGGGAAAGGTCCTGGAAATCGACGGCAGCTTGCGGTTGCAGGCGGTTGCAGGTGTCTTATCGACTCGGATGCTTGGGTAACCTGAAGTAGGAATCTGTCTTGGCAAGGAGTCATGCCTGACAGAGAGACAGAGAGAGAGAGAGAGAGAGACAGGCAGGCAGGCAGGCAGGCAGGCAGGCAGGCAGGCAGGCAGGCAGACAGGCAGACAGGCAGACAGACAGACAGACAGACAGACAGACAGAGAGAGAGACAGACAGTCCAGGACTCGTCGAATGGCGCCATTTGGGCTCCTTCAGCTCTTACCGAACCGCAAATGACGCGAGGCGAACCCCCTCGCCTTTGACTGCGTCGCCCCCGGTGCCGCGGTGAATCTTTCACTGGCGGAGGGCCAGACCTGGCCCAGCGATGGGGTTTCTCGCGACGCCGGCAAGGCGACATGGCCTCCTGTTCCTGTGCCTTTGGCATTCGACTTGGGCGAGTTCTGTGGAGGAGTGTGTGGACGGGAGCGTCGAGCTCCTGCAGCGGCACCTCAGAGTCCTGGAGGAGGATGAGACAGACAGGAGACTTCAGGCAGCTCTTCCCATGTTCTGGCTGCATATCCCGAAATGTGGCACCACCTTTGTGAACACGCTGATCAACATGCACCACTTTTGCCCGTCGGCGGGTGAAAACTTTGATCTGTCGCTGTTGGCGCCACACGAATGCTTCAACCCCGTCTTCGCGATGTGCCAGTCCTTCTGCAATCCGATCTTCTGAACGAGTGCTGAGAGTAGATTTTCTATTTTTCCATGTCTTTCGCTCATGTAGACTCTTGATTGAAACCCTCCACGTGAAGAGGTGTTTCAATCCAAATGTGGTGGGGGTATGAATCAAGAGTCTAGTAGAGCTACATAATGCGTGACTCCTGAGGGCTTTATGATGCTTTCACTATTGTCCGGGCCCTTTTGGCTAAGTCCGAGGAACTTCTTGGAGTGCTACGAACATCCCTCCGCTATGCATTCGCCGGTGGGCAACGCCACGGAGTATGCGAGGAGGAAGGGCAAATTGGTGGGATTCTTCCGTCAACCCGAACAACGTGTGCTGAGCGCCTACTACGATGGACATGGTTGGCTGGAGGATTTCTCGAATCCAGATTCCAGCTTCCTGGAAGCAGGGAGTTCGAGATAGAGGTCGTTTTTCTTTGGGCCGATTGTTTTCGACATCCTTCTGGCACACCATGTCATCATATGTCATCCTTTTTCCGTACGCGGTAGGGCGACCAAGGACCACGTTGTGGTTGTGGCACGGTTGGACCGCACATCGAATTGATCTGCGAATCCCTGAGGGGACTGGAGGAGAGTGAAAAGGATAGCAACTGGCTGGGTTTTGGGTTCCATCTCCTCAGGTTCGGTAGGCACAGACCCCCCTGTCACCCAACCCCAACCTTCGAAACGGAGGTAGGCCAGGAGGCCGTGCTCCGTCGAATCAAATCTTTGCTCAGGTAAGTTTCTGTTTCGCTGCAATCTCTCCTACACTGGATGCTTGGATTCTGGAAAGTTCTGGTGTGATCGGCGGGGGTCACCAGGGTCATGGACCAAGATAGACGACCGGAGAACAGCACCTCGCACGATGACAGGGCCAGTCTTCCTCGACCCAGAAACTGGGGAAGCTCG